AGAGGAGAGAGAGAGAGGAGAGGAAAGAGAGAGAAGAGAGAGAGAAAGAGAGAAGAGAGAGAGAATGAGAGAAGAGAGAAAAAGAGAGAGAGAGAAGAGAGGAGAGAAGAAGAGAGAGAAGAAGAGGGTAAGAGAGAAGAGAGAGAGAGAGAGAAAGAAAGGGTAAGAGAAAGCGAGAAATAGAAAAAAGAGAGGCGCGTATGAAACAGGAAAAAAAAGATAAAGAATGAGATTACGTAAAAACCTGTGTTCGGTTCAGCTAAGTGATCACAGACACTTTAGCCAACTTATTACACTGCAATAACAATATAATACACAACGAAGCAGATGAAAGTGGTATATATGTATACCATATGTGTAGGGATATGTACACACATGTATACGTAGATATATGCGAATTAACACACACATACATATAGAACGGAAGAAAAATATAACAGATACATATATGTGAGTGTGTGCATTTTTCTCCCTTTATTTATTTATTTATTTATTTTTTAGCGTGTATGGGTTGATTTCGCGTTTTGCACCTACCATGTAATTCCATGAACTAGTCCTTTCTATCATCATCTTTTTCTGCGTGAAGGATGATTTTGGTGAGATCGCCATAAAAAGCAGATATTGCAGATTTTCTTACGTGTGTGTGGATTGATATCAGGCAAATAAAAACGAAATTTTATCAAAAGTAAATTCTAAATCGGCAAAAGCTTTTAAAGGCTTATGCACCTCTTCCACTCATACCGTAAACGATGATGTTACAGAAACAAGGAAAATGTGTAGATTTTCTTCATCAGCTTATTATTTTCCATATATGAAAAAAACTAGTAAAATAAGTCGATTGAAATTCTTTTAAAAGTCTATACATGTACTGAATATTATTGTCGGCATTCTTTCCATAGTTCTAGGAAAGTCCAGTTTACTGTAAATGACATCTTTATCTATGACGAAACCTGGCTAACATTTTAGGAGTCTTTATTTTTAATATATACATATACATACATAGTTGCATATGTATATATATATATATATATATATATATATATATATATATATACATTATATATTAATATATTAATATATATATATATATATATATAGTAATATATATATAATATACTAATATATATTATATATATATATATACATAAGTATCCCTCACGCATAAAATTACTGTAATGGACTTACTGCCTTATTTAATCATTTAGGAACTTTTACAAGTAATACGCAGCATTAGATAATAGATAGAAATAGGATACGATAGATAGATAGATAGATCAGAGAGAGAGAGATGAGAGGAGATCCGAGATGAAGTAAGATATCGAGAGAGAGGAGGAGGAGGAGGAAAAAAGAGGGGACAGGAAGAGGAGGGATGGAGAGAAGAGATGAGAGGAAGAGACTGAAGAGAAAAGACTGAGAGAGAGAGAGGAGGGAGAGGAGAAAACAACAGAGGGTGAGAAGAAGAGAGTGAGAGAGAGGATGAGAAGAAGTAGAGGAGATTGAAAGAGCAGAAAAGGAGCATGAGGAGAGAAGGACCAGAGAGACGAGACGAGGAAGAGAGAGTGAAGAGAACGAGAGAGAGAGAGAGAGGAGAGGAAGAGAGAGAGAGAGTAGAAGAGGGAAGGAGAGGAGAGAGAAGAGGTAGAGAATAAGACTGATAGTCATCTATCTACTTCTATCTATCTATCTACTAGTACTAATTCATATCTATATATATACAGTATACTGAATATACTATATATTATATATAGTATATGGTATTATATAGTATAATTATATATATTATATATGATTAAGTAATCCACTGAGCGTTCATGAAACTTCGTAGCTTAATGACTTTTACTGCCCTTATATTAATCTTAGGAAACTTTCAAAGGTATACGTGAGACGAGAGAGTGAAGAGGGGGGAGGAAGAGGAGTGTTAGAAGAGAGGAGGAGAGGAAATGAGAAAGAAGAACGGAGAGGAGAGGAAACAGAGTTTTGAAGGGAGTAGTATAGGGGAAACCAAAGAGGGCGATGAAGGCGAGCCCAGAGAGAGGAACGAGGAAGAGGAGAGAAAGAGAATAGTTTTAGAGAGGAGAGAGAGAGGAAGCCGGGCGAGCAGGAGGGAGAGAGCAAGGGGAGGCATCATTGATGAGAGTGACGGAGGGAGAAAGGTGAGAGGAGCGAGGGATCCCTTGCGAGCGGAGATCTAGAGAGGATGAGAGAGTCGTGGTAAGGAGCAGACCGAGGAAAGTTATGTATTTTACGAAATAGGTGTAGAAGGCATTGACCCATGTATGATAGAAATCGAGGATAAGTAAGAGCGACATATCAGATGAGGAAGGAAGGCTGAAGAGAGAGCAGAGAGCAGAGAGAGAGAGCGAAGGGACTGGTTTGACGAGAGGAGGAAGAAAGACCTGAGAGAGAGACATGAGAGTGAGAAGAGAGCAGTAGAGAGAGATGGAGAGTAGAGAGAGAGAGGAGAGAGGTAGACGAGATGAGAGAGATAGAGACCGAGGACCATGACCCGAGACGGACGGATAGAAAGACTGAGACGAAGTTTTGATGAGAAGAGAGAGGCGCAAGAGTTGAGAGGAGAGGAGCAGAGATCGAAGCAGAGGAGATGAGAGATGGAGACGAGACTGAGACGAGAGAATGTAGAGAAGAGACAACAGAAGATGGGAGGGAGGGGAAAAAAGGGGAGGGGGAAGGAGAGAGTGAGAGAGAGAGAGAGAGAGACTAGCTTCATCGTAAAGAACCTAAGAACCATCCATCAATAAATAAAAAAGTGGCTGGGCATCGTAAGAAGGAAAGGAACAGCATTGTCTTCATATACAAAATAAAATGTTTATTTTAACTATTTTTATTCATCAAATATAGAGAGAAGGATTTTTCTCCGTGGGAGCACAGAATTTATAGCTTGAGAATACAAACATTTATCTAACTGTTTATCTGAGATTTACTTTTCACGACTTTTCACGATCCCTCAAAACGGTATGGCTATTTATAATGTCTTCATTAGTTGGTTTGATCTGAGAGGATTTCCATAAGGACAGACGTAGACATTGCGACTGTATGTTTACATATATGTATTTCTGACTATAATGTACAATTTCGGGCAACAGTAGCAAACAGCTTATGTTGCCAACCTGAATCCGACAGCGTTTGATTTTTTGTTTTGACGTTATTATTTCTGCCTTACAACCTTCAGTCTGTATGAATACATGGACAAACATGAAAATGTGATTTAAAGGCAAATGATGGCCTTGAGGAAGGTGGGGATAATTCAACATTTTGCAGATCACACCTACTTATTGTTGTGGCAGCATCAAGGTACGGTAGTTGCATTTGTCCAGCACTGTACATTTTTACTTTACATTTCAACTAGTTCGAATTAACTGAAAGAATCCACACAGCAAAGAGCTTCTCAGTCTGATAAACAAGAAAAAAAGACTATACATATGAACATATGAAATTGGGGAAAGCACAAGGGAAGAGGGTATCAGTGGATATAAACTACTGATTAAGGCTTGATTAGAGGAACTGCTTGAACGCCTGTTTGAAGGCAAGCAGAAGGCTTCAGTGCTGGGCATACCCATATGCAGGCGAAGTCGGGGTCGTGGACACTCCGAAGAAGTCCATCTCCCGCAGCTGGTTCATGAAGGTGACCACGTGAGGCATGACCTTCTCGGCGGCGTTGAAGCGCTGGTACGTGTCCTGCGAGATGTTGTTGCCCTCCGCCTTCGCTGTGGCCTCCATGACCTTCCTGGTGATGGGCATGAAGTCCAGCATGATCTGCTGGACGCTCTCGGGGTCGTTGGCCCTGTCGCGGTTCTGGGAGACCTTGCGGAAGACCTCGACGATTTCCGGCAGCACGTCGATGGTGGCGCCGACGATGTTCTCGTAGGCACCCAGGTCACGAGGTGTCTCGGGCTGCAGGACGCCCAGGGTATCGTATCTCTGCGGGGCCGCCTGGGCGAGGCAGAGCACAGCTGCTGCGACGAAGAAGACCTGTGGGGAACATGAGGACAAGGGAAGTCAGCAGCGGAACGATCCATTTAGAGAAGCGGTCAGAGCAATGTCGGTGACTGATTTCGTTTGAGTCACGTAACAGGATCCTTACCCTCAATAAGGCAACGTTCATTTACTCGCATATTTGCTTGTTCCTGAATACATGCATTAATAATAAACGATTGTGACTTGTTTCTGCCACAGGGTGTTTGTTACATGAAGGCGAGTGATGTGGTGGGCGGAGCTTAACCATAAGTCGTGCAGTATATAAAGCCATCCGCCTGCAGTTTTGTGCATTACTTTCGAAAATCAACCGTCACAATGATTTTACTGTTGCACAGACGACTGGATTATTTACATAATTATTTCTAACGCTTTCTTCAAAAATTCACTACAATGAAATTAACCGCATGGAGACAAGAGTGAAACGATGACGAAACCGTAAGTACATATTACTAGTTAAATTGACTAGACATTTAAGAGTACATATTTTTGTTTCAATGATAACCTTTACATCATTTTTTGTCATTGACGTTATCGCAATCACGTAGGCCTAAATGCATCCCTTGTAACACTGTCGTAATTACACTTAAGTAGTATAGTCGTGATTATTTGTTGATCACGCAAAGTTGTCGAAGTGCCTGTCTACCGCGCCGCGTGCATTGGCTCAAGTGTGGACCCAAAAAGATATATCAATTAAACTGAACCGTACTAGGTTGTGCCATCAATGACAACCCATTTGAATAGCGTAGAAGCGATGGATAATTAATGTCTCATCCATCACTAACGTCACACCATGCAAAACAACAGTCATGCAACAACGAGCCACTCATCTTCGGACAAGCTGCAAACTGAACTGCGCAAGTGACGACTTTTAGAAACAACTTGGCCCACACGCGCAAGGCTTCCACTCTTACACATATGTATATCTTTCTATTCCGAAAAGCGTTTCCCCCTCGCGGACCCAACCTTCAGTGTCATGTTGCAGAGTGTGACCGAGCGACGTCGTGCAGAGGAAGAGGCTCGAGTGAGTGCCTGGAAGCGAGTGCCTCCTTTATATACTGTGGCGTCTCGTGCGGTCGGGCGATGGGTGGGGCGGCGGACGAGGTCTACAAGGGAGAAATGACAGTGGAGGAAGCATGACGTTTTTTCTTTCTTATGTCTCTAACTTTCCTTTTTTGTCTTTGATTTTAATATTTATATATTTTTTTATCATTAATTTTTTATATATATATATATATATATATATATATATATATAATTTTTTTTATAGATATTATTTTTTATAAATTGAGAGGTAGATGATAGGTGACAAACAGACAACAATAAAAATCTTTCACAACAAAGAAAATAAGAAAAAAGGAACAAAGAAAACCAGCCACAAAAAAAGAAAAAAAAAAAAAAAAAAAAAAAAAAAAAAAAAAAAAAAAAAACATCGCACAGCAAACCCAGCCATAGCTGGATTTCTTTCGTTCGCTGGATAACGAGGGATAACAGTGCTGTGCATAAAGAGTGTGGGGGGGGTGCGGGGTGGGTGGGGGTTATGTGTGTTTGGTTATTATTAAAGCAATTTGTATATTTATTCCTGCTTTGGTTTGTTATGAATTAAGGGAACTTAAGGTTGTACTGATTGGAGATTCCTAGCTGTCATTTTCATTATCATTATTGTTGTTATTATCTTTATCATCATTGTTACTATCATCATACTGCTTCTACTACTGCTAATGATAATAATGACGATAATAATTATCATTATCATTATTCTTATTACAAATTCTTTATATGATGATTATTATAACAAATTATCATTACAATAATTGTTATTTCATCATTATCATTACTCTTATCACTGCTCTCTTACCAGCAATAGGTATCCCCTTGTCATCACCCTCATCATCTTCCCGGCTACCATTGCCATTGAGCCCTGTTATGATCATGGTAATCATCTTCGTCATCACTTGCCTTTGATGTCAACAGACCGGAAAATATTTTGTTTCACATAACCATCTGTCGACATCACTCTCATCATCAATTTCATGTGGTCATAAACGATTCATAAAATCTATTTGCATTTGCATAAAATCTCACCACCGTATGACAACGGCAAATTCACGCGGATGACCTTCCCGGCCTAAATCTTCCTTGATTTCTGTTTCTGATAATTCTGCTTCAAAGGAATCCCCGCTTCCCGCAGATCCTCCTGGCCTGTGCGACGTGCGCCTGCGCCGCGTCCGCCCAGACGTACGAGGCCCTGGGCGTGCTTCAGCCGGAGAAGCCGAGGGACTTGGGGAAATACGAGGGCGTGGTGGCGGCGACCATCGACATTCTGCCCGAGGTTGCCAAGACCCTGAAGGAGCTGGCCAGCAGGATGGCTCGCTCTCAGGCCGACCCCTTCGACTCGCAGAACATGTTCGAGATCCTGATGGCGTTCATGCCCGTGACCCGCAGGATCCTGTTCGCCGTGGCTGAGGCCGAGGGGCGGAGCGTGTCCGAGGAGGAGCTGCAGAGGCTGGACCGCGCCGAGAAGGTCCTTCCCTCCGCCTTCAGCTTCATGCTGAGGCTGCACGGGAGCGACTCCGCCGCCGAGAGGACCCCGACAGAGGACGCCGCCGCCCTCGCCGACACCAACGTCAGCGGGCCCTTCGTCCAGAGGCCCCAAAGTCACAGGGGCTTTATCTATCATGGGTAGACGCAGACTGAAACGCAGAAGGGGAAAAAGACGTAGAAAGGATTGGAGAAGAAATAGTACAAAGAGTAGGAGGATGAAGATGAGAACCTGCGACAGAAAAGGGAGAGGAGAAGCACGAGGAAATGAAGGATCGGGAGAAGCACGTCGAGGAGGTGACACACTAACTAGAAGTAATAGTACATACAAAAAAAAGGACAGTGGAATGCAGAATAGGGATAAGTAGCCATTGAAGAAGGAAAAGATCATGATGGCATTATCAGCTGTGTTATTAGTATACGATCATTCTAGTATAGGACTTGGTAATATAATTTAATTCCTTATTAGTCAAAAGACCAATTCACCTTAACGCATTACAAATTGTACATAGATATAATTAAACAGTATAAAATTCGAAAGTATCTATTTTTTCTATATCCACGAGAGAGAGAGTAAGGAGGGCGGGAAAGTGTGGGAGGGAAGGAAGGAGAGAGAGAGTTTAGAAAAATGAGAAAGAAGAGAGAGAGAGAGAGAGAGAGAGAGAGAGAGAGAGAGAGAGAGAGAGAGAGAGAGAGAGAGAGAGAGAGAGAGAGAGAGAGAGAGAGAGAGAGAGAGAGAGAGAGAGAGAGAGAGGAGAGAGAGAGAGAGAAGAGAGAGAGAGAGAGAGAGAGAGAGAGAGAGAGAGAAAGGGGGAGAGAGAGAGAGTTTAGAAGAATGAGAAAAGATAGAGGGAGTTCAGAAGAATGAGAAGAGAAAGAGACAGAGAGAGAGAGATTAGAAGGATGAGGAAAGACAATTTAAAAGAATGAGAGAGATAATTTAAAAGAATGAGGAGAGAGATAATT